AAAATGCTGCACCACCACTTTATGCATATCATCCGATATCCTCGTCCTGGCTCTTGCTGCTTCTCCTTTATCGCTCTCCTTCGTGCAGCTTTGACAAATACTCATGGTTCATTCACCTTGTATTTGCAGGTGTTAGCAGATTTTGTGGTAGTGTGCACTGCAGTGTTGGACAACGTCTGGAGCCTCAAGACAGTCTAAAAAGGATGCTATTACACAAGTCCTGCAGGGCTTTAGTGCACAGAGATAGGTCATTGTGAGCAAGATTAGAGTTTATATGAATCCTAAATTTAGCTTTTTTTGTGATGAAATAATTTCCTGTGCTTGATGAAACCTTGAAGTATACCTCTAAATATTTTGTATTGTTTTTGGCAACAGTAGCAGCCATAATGGTAATCTCCATAAATGTTGCATATTGCCCTGTAAAACACAGCTGTCAGCTCTGTCTAGCTGTCTGGTGCTTGAAATAAATGTCAGCAGTTTGTGAAAATCACACTAAACAAACAGCAAAATATTCAAATTATTTGGTTTATCATTGGATAATGATACACAATTTCACCATTTCTAATTGTGATCAGCAAGTATATCATTTTCTGTATCTGTGTCTCTTCAACCAACTAAATGTTCTATATTCATATCCAGAATGGTCGTTGCTTAGACCGGACATGGGCGTGACTGACCAGAAGTTGTTAATGTTTTATACATTTCTTTATTGCTATAATTAATACCATTAATGGCTTCAGAATTGATCCCCAGACCAATGTTTTTAGTCACAATATGAAGAGAAAGTTTTGTTTTTTTTCTAAATAAAAATTGCTATTGTTTACGGATATTTATGTTACATTGATGATACCTGTACTCATAAACAATAGATTATCTATACCAGATACTTGCTCAACCCTAATTTCTAAGGTTGAGCATTTCTAATATCAATGATAATAATTCCTATTTTAGCCCACTGAGACTGGAGTGGAATAGATGCTAAAATACTGTTTTACCAAACACTGTATTCTTTTCATGAAAAGGATTTTGATTGTATTTTTCTGTGAAATGTTAACAGATAAAGAGCTGTGTGGCCTTTTGGTGTTTGTTGACACAAAAGTGGATACATTAGTGACAATACTGGCCTCTTGGATGGATTTTCTTATTGGAGATGTAAATACAAATACAGTATGTAACACATATCTCTTTAAAATCCGATGGATATCTATATATTCTTCTCTATAAACAAAAAGGTCAGTTGGAAGAACGTCATGAATGTTTTATCCTTTCGGGGTTGGTCTCTTTTTTTTTTTTTCTCAGTTGTCCCGTTGTCAGCCGACATGTCTGATTTGCCTCGTTGCCACTAGCAATGAAAACCAACATGAACAACCGACAGCAAATGCAGCATAAACAAGTCAGACCAAAGGGAATGAGATCAGACGAGCAGTCTAGAAGCATTAAGGCCATCTTCCTGTAAACCAGACTGACACGGAAGGGCTGCAGAGACTTTAGTGTTGTCATGTACCTTTCTTTGAAGTGTTAGACATACAAACTCCATCTGTATCTACTGGTATCTATTATTTAGTATAATCTGTTTGTTCAGTGTGACCAGCATTTTCTGTATTAATTAATAATGGACCGTTGTCCTGGGGACCCCAAAAATAGCACCATGGACACAAATATACAGTATCTGGGACAATTCTGGGACAGTAGTAGTATTATTCCAAATGAATGTATCTGTTTATATGTCATGGAATATATAGCCATTTAATATTTAGGTGTTAAACTTGTGAGGTGGTAGCTCTACGCTGTGTCACATGCATGCTCACATAAACACAAAATCAATATAACTTAGCCTACATGTAAATAGTTAGTTTGAGTTTGTAAATATTTAAGTAGTTGGTTTTATCTCCTCCCTCCCTTTTTGTATTTTTAAACTTTACTTCAAATATGTAATTTTGTTTGTAAATTATTGGGCTAAATAAGTGTTAAAAGTGTGTACATTTACAATGCTGTATACCAATCTGAAGCTGAACTGCAGTTTGCAGTAATGCATTTTTTAAATTCAAATATAAGTTGCAGAAACAACCGCAAGCAGAACTTCCAGTCCATGAAGTAATGAGAGTTACTGAAACTCTGAAAGTTATCAAACTATATTCATTATCTAGAATAGAAGATTGTTAAATCTGGGACAGTTGTGGGATTTCGAGCCCTGTGTGTGACTTTTAAAGGACCAGTGTGTAGGATTTATTGGGATCTAGTGGTGTAGTTGCCACTCCCTCGCTTCACCCTCCCCTTCCAAGTGCGAAGGAGAAACTACGGTGCCTGTGAAAAATGTGTATGGCCATATTTAGAGCCAGTGTTTGGTTTGTTCAGTCTGGGCTTACTGTAGAAACAATGGCGGTTCAACATGGTGGCCTCCATGGAAGGTCTTTAGATATAAAAGGCTCATTCTAAAGTAACGTTTCAGCATCAAACCAATCTGAGCTGATTTTTGCAGTGCATGGAGATATTAATAACAGGCCAGGGTGTCTCTCTCTCTCTCTCTCTCTCTCTCTCTCTCTCTCTCTCTCTCTCTCTCTCTCTCTCTCTCTCTCTCTCTCTCTCTCTCTCTCTCTCTCTCTCTCTCTCTCTCTCTCTCTAATGAGAGTATTTGGCACCAGGGCTAATTGCTGATGTCCTTTATTCTTCTGTCAATAACTGGCGATGTCCTAATCACACGAGTGCGACAGAGCAACTGGGTTTTCGTCGCTGATCGTTTGCAGAGATATTCTCGTATTCTTTCTGTCGTGACCGCAATTTAAGACAGCATTTATGATTCAAGGAAAACAACAGAGAGGAGACGTTAGAGGATTTGTTTTTAGGAAATCCGGGGCGAATGTTGTTACGAAGGCGTGGGTCTCAACCCCACCTACTTCCTTTCTGGACACAGGTTGGAGTTTCCTCACACATGGTAGGCGTAAGAATTTGTGTGTTTTTTTTTTTTATGTTAATATTTGTCTCAATAAATAATGTTAGAGAGAGAGCTTTATGATACGGTGTTGAAAAAAAAAGCAACTGGAGTTGGACTAATAAGTTAACTAAGTTGGGCGACTGAGACTCTTAACATCAACTAACAGTTAACAGGCTATAATGGGGGCAGCCCCATGTGGTCCATGTCAACTGTAGTTGGACTACGCAGTCTTAAAAGCCATAAAATGACGATATTACATCCTGTCCATCTGATACAGTTTTTCCAGTCAGTCTGAAAACTTTTAACCTCATTAACTTCAGCTCTCTCTCTCTCTCTCTCTCTCTCTCTCTCTCTCTCTCTCTCTCTCTCTCTCTCTCTCTCTCTCTCTCTCTCTCTCTCTCTACAATGTTCTTATGTGATCATTTCATTTCCCTTCATTGAATATGTTCATGAGGTGAAATTGGACAAAACATTGTCGGCGTAGAATTAGCCAAACAGCATGAAAACACAAAAAACCCTTGATTGGACCAGGTGACCTGAGATTTTGTGAAAATGTTGGGTTTGATCTTGTGGAAAATCTCAGAAGAGCAATAAAAGCGGACAGAAACAGAGAGGGGCTCTGTCAGCTCTCAGTGTGATACTGGATGCTTTGGGTTTGGTCTGCAGTTGTCATGGTAGTTTTGGCTGAACATTTGTATTGATGTGGACTAATGGGCTACATCACTTTCTGCCAGACCACCCCCCTTTACCCATGCATGCTTGCACACACACATTTCCCTGCGCTCGTAAGTCTGTCTGTGTCCTTTGGAGTCAGTGCTTGAGTAGTCTGAGCTGTGACAGACAGGCGGGGGGGTATTTAGCCTCCCATACACCCAGCCAGCTGGATTGACATGGATCTATAGGAAATCTGTCTCTCTATGCTATTTATGTGTCTTAATTCCTCCCTGTTGTAGTCTATTGAAGGGGACACATGCATATGTATAGATTTTTCTTGAACTAAATGTTGGTTATTGATCCCCGAGCATACAGATCCACAGTATACATTAGAAATGTCTTTAATGTTGTTCAAGCTGAATGGTGAGAGACCTTTGGCTATACTTTTGGCAGTTCTGTTTTACTTTCCTTTTCCCAGCCTTGACAGTTGAGTGGTGTTGTGGTTCCAGGAAACACATTGTGGAAATCAATAAACACCGCTCTGAGATAGGAAGAGTGGTCACATGACCTTGACAGGAAGTACGCGAGGGTGTTGTCTGTGTGATTGGCTTTCTGGTCTAATGACTGATGATGCTCATTTCCTCATTTAAAATGTGATGTCCCTCTGTTTTATTCTCTGATATGGGATTTATTATTATTATTAATAATTGATGACCTATATGAACTTCTGCTACATTTAAAGACAAACCCCTTATCATTTTATATAAACAGTTTAGGAGACAATAGACAAAGTTCAAATATATGTTCTATTTAATGTATGTATTAGGCAGTGACAATCCTAATTTACATTTTTGTACCATTTTCATATGGTTTAGTTTATAATGCATAAATACATTAAATATTGACTCCAATGTCCAATCAGCAACTTTCAACATAAAATCTACTGTCCCCAATTGGAAATTTGCAGCCAGGTGAAATGTAGAACTCACAATAACTTGAACATAAAACATATTAAAAACACTATAAACATATGTTTAAAGTTCACATAAAGCAATGTACATCAGAGACAGTGCAATGGTGTTCATCCAGCATTATCATCCCACTGCACAGATGTTTATTTTTGACCATTAACAGTTACTTTTTGTAACTAATGACTAATGTTTACTTCTAGGACCTGAACATATCGTTCATCTGAGAAAGGATGGTCATAAAGCTTTTTCTGACCCTACCCACCTCACACAGATGCCTAAACACTAACAGTGCGATTGTGATAAACTCTGAGCCACGGGTACAATCTCGATTCATCACTCAGCTTTGGGGAGAAATTTAGAAACTGGTGTATGGGGAAGTGCTGTGTGTTTATTTGTTTTTCACTGAAAAAGTTCAAAAGTTATCTCCGTCCCTCCCTCTATAGGAGGCCAGCCCAGGATGAACGGCGAGTCAGGTGCCGGGGTGGTGACGGCCCCCCCTCCCACCACAGCCCCCCACAAGGAGCGGTACTTCGACCGGGTGGATGAGAGCAGTCCGGAGTACCAGAGGGAGAGAAACATGGCACCCGACCTGCGGCAGGACTTCAACATGATGGAGCAGAGGAAGAGGGTCTCCATGATACTACAGAGCCCGGTCAGTGGAACAGACACATTAAATCCTTAATATATTCAGATTCAGCAGCAAACACTACATTTGCTGTACATTAACTGACAAATTACTGTGGTCACAGTTGATAAATGCACACTGTTAAACCAGTATTTTAAAACGTGAATAGGCTCTTATAGTGTACAGGCAGGAGCCTCCCAAACATCACATGATGGATCCAGTTTATTCTCCATCAACAGTGTGTCTGTGACCAGCTGAATACCAGAGAACAGCACTGTTTAAAGGCCTATTGTATGTATGAAAAGCACTAATGTATTCAAGCCCTGAAAAAAGGCCCAGAGTGGTGCTTATATGAGGTTTTTACTTTAAGTTCAGGACAGTACTTAGAGAGACTTTTTTATGACCTTTCTCTGTGTCACAACCTCACATATTGTTGAATGACACTCAATTTGCCAGTTTATTAGCTACACCTAGTTAAAGCTAATGTAGTTTAATTCAGCAGCCCTGTTGGTGAACTGTATTGCATTATACAGAGAGACGTTTCTGCTATTTAGCTGCACCTCATTGACAGAAATGGGCTGGACAAAATCATAGAAACCTCTCTCAGTATAACCCAATACAGTTCAACAACACTATGAACTGCACCCTCCAAAATGACCATACAGTTGAATCAACACGTTCTGAAACAGTTTAAACAGAAACATTATAACCTCCTGAAGGTGGGATTAGTTTTAGCTAGGTGTACCTAATAAACTGGAAACCAAGTGTATCTTTGACTAAATGTGTGTACTTGTGTACAAAATTAATGTTCATGTAACTTCTTAGTAACCTAAGCATACTTAGGTGGAGATACTTTTCTTTTCACATACTGTGTCAGCCTTTTTTGTCATGGTTACATTATTGCTTTATAAGACAGTTAAGACTCAAAAGCAACATCACATACTAACAGTAATAAAAACTGACATGATGGATTACCTGTCTTAAGCAAGTTTTAAGTTTGAAATTCATTTTAAAAATCTTCGAAAACCTAGTGTCGGTATGTTTAATTTCCTAAATATGAATGTTGGTTCTAAACTTGCCCATGGCTCTGAAACTTCTATGTCTCTCTGTTTGTGCCCTTTCCTGCTTTGTTTTTGGGTCATAGTGTTTGCTCTTACATTTCTTGGTGTTTTTGTGTCTGTGTGGATGACCGGCAGGCATTCTGCGATGAGCTGGAGACAATGATCCAGGATCAGCTGAAGAAGGGAAAAACGCCCACTAGCCTGTTGGCTCTGCAGCAGATCGCAGACTTCATGACCACCAGCATGCCTTCCATGTATCCCGCTGCACCACAAGGAGGCATGGCGGCGCTCAACATGAGTAAGCAGAGACGAGAATGAGTGTGTGCGACTTTCTGACCCCAGCCCTGCTATGTCTGCGCTCACAATGAGTAATGCAGCATATGCCATAGTTAATTTTTGGACAAAGAGTGCAGTTGGATTTCAGTAGGCAGACTCGGTCTAATTATCTGTGAGACTTTTTTTCTTTCCTGCTAGCAAGGAATAAGGAATGGGTCTTACTTTGTATGCACAGAGCACTGGATTTTAATTGTTTTCCCCTCGTAGTGTCTCTTTCTCCTCACTATTATTATTATTATTATTATTATTATTATTATTATTATTATTATTGTAAGCAATCCGTGTCTTCCTGTCTGACCACCGTGTCTTCCTGTCTGACCACCGTCTCTCCCTCTCAGGTTTGGGCATGGTGACTCCAGTGAATGATCTGCGTGGCTCAGACTCAATTTCCTACGACAAAGGCGAGAAGCTGCTTCGCTGCAAGCTGGCTGCCTTTTATCGGCTTGCAGACTTGTTCGGCTGGTCGGAGCTCATCTACAACCACCTCACAGTAAGACGGGCTTCAAACTTTATAATACTACTAATAATACTATTACCATGTTGACTGAATTTGTCAGAGGGAGTGCAGAGGGAGAGATAAGAAGCCAAGATACTGCATGAGCTGAAAGGGATGGGTGCTTGAAAACAGCTGTGTGAAAACAACTGGAAGTTAGTTATTGGATTTTGACCAACACAGTAGATGGAGCAGCACCAGTTGCTGTGACTCTCAGCTCATGGAGGCTGTTAGGTTTTAAAACCCTTAGCACCCAATTGCAATCAGACATGATGCACATATTTTTTTCAGTGTGACTTTCACTTTCTAATGACCTCTCTGAATAAAAATCTTTTAAATCTGATTCATAGAAAAGAGGACGGTCCTTAGAACTCCATAACAGCACATTTTTATGTTTCCTTCAGTGTCAAAGTTACCCAATGGTAGCTGTCTGTACATCCACGGGTACATTGCAAACAGGAACTGGAAATAGCAAATTCAGCACACTTTTAATAGTGGCAGTTTGCCAAAATGTAAACAAGTATACACTAAAAGATTGAGCTCAAATTGTAGCCCAAAACTGGCTCCATGGCAACATTATACTTCCTGTTTATGTCACCCAAACCTGGCGAGGTTTTTGCTTGTCTGAGGGGCTGCACACAGTGTCACACTGCACTTAAACAGTCGAATGTGTCTTCATAAAAACAATGCTTTTGTATTCGGTGCTATGTATCATTACGTCACAAACATGTGCAATGTTATGTGGGTATATGATCTGATTCGGAAGTTTAGAATATATTGTAGGAAGGTTTGCTTGAGTGTTTTTGGTGTGAATTAAATGAACAGTAATGACATCATTAAACAAAAAAAAAAACAAGCTTGACAAATCGTTTCATTTCATGAATTCCTCATTCATTCTTTATGGGCTTTAAGAAAAGGCTTTTGTGATGGCCAACAGCCTTTGGATAATCAATTGGTTCAATTCAATTAGAGCCAATTGCCATGTAAATCTGTAATCTAACATGACTGTCCTCTGGTCTTTTAGGTCAGGGTGAACTCAGACCAGGAGCGCTTCCTCATTGTCCCTTTTGGCCTCCTGTACAGTGAAGTCACTGCCTCCAGTCTGGTGAGAATCTGTGCTGATTAGAACTGCATGTCTTTACTTATGTTTTCTTCCTACTGTTACATCAGTGAATGATGCAATTTTAACTTTTATTTCTCTTTAGATTAGCACACTTCTCATGTGATAAAATACGTTGGAACTTACTTTACTTGACAATAAACTGCATGTTGTCAGAGATTTTATAGCTAAAGTCATTAAACTTATATTTGCTTTGAGTAAGCCCTTGTTATTTGCCCTGCTATTCAGGTGAAGATAAACCTTCAAGGTGAGATAGTGGACCGGGGAAGCACCAATCTCGGGGTGAACCAGGCCGGCTTCACACTCCACTCTGCCATCTACGCCGCACGACCTGATGTTAAGTGTATCGTACATGTACACACACCCGCGGGTGCTGCGGTAAGGGGGCAGTGTATACAAAGTCATCATACAGAATACAAACACAGACATCTGCATATTATACGCTTATGTGATATGTTCTGTTCTGTTTGTTTGGTTGCAGGTGTCAGCCATGAAATGTGGTCTGTTGCCCATCTCACCCGAGGCACTGTCCCTAGGTGAGGTGGCCTACCATGACTACCACGGCATTCTGGTGGATGAGGAAGAAAGTACTCTCATACAGAGGAACCTCGGGCCTAACAGCAAGGTAACAGCAGAGTTTTATTATAAAAGCTGTTAAAAAAAAAACTAAATTATATAACTTGTAAAGCACATAGGAGAAATGAGAATGTCCTTGGTGGTTCTTTGCTGAGTTTTTATTTTTCCTCTGTCCCAGGTGCTCATCCTAAGGAACCATGGCTTGGTGTCCGTTGGCGAAACAGTGGAAGAAGCTTTCTATTACATCCACAATGTGGTCACCGCCTGTGAGATCCAGGTAGGACACACAGTGAGCTCTGTACAGGACACTTCCTGAAATATCATTTGGCAATAGCCAGTAGTGCATGGATAGTTATTTCAGTCAAATATTCCTAAAGATCATCATTGTGTTATAATAGAACCGTGTATTTTCATTTGGGTTGTTATATTTGGAACCATATGTTTGTCTGCATTTTTCATAACAATTGTCTTTGTCCCTTGTCTCTCCACATTTTTATATATGTTCATCTTTCTTCATGTTGATGTCTGTATTTATGTGTGTTACGTTCGATGTTTGTGTATGTCTTCATGTCCACATTTTATTTTCCTTCTTTATTCTGGATCCTGTCTGTGGTTTGTCTGTCTGTACACCCCCCCACCCCAATTTCTTTCAGGTGCGAACACTGGCCAGCGCTGGAGGGCCAGATAATCTGGTGATGCTGGACCCGGGGAAGTACAAGGCACGTTCACGGGTCCCGGAGCCAGCTGGCGACGGGTCCTCCGCACACCCCAAGTGGCAAGTCGGGGAGCAGGAGTTTGAGGCTCTCATGAGAATGCTCGACAACTTGGTGAGGACAAAGACTTTAAACTTTTGTAGGGGAATGGGAGTGTATTATTATCTCTCCTGTTTAATAACTTGACACCAACAATTAATCCAATTTTAAATGCGTTATTTTCCTCTTTCAAAACATAGTCATAGTATGTACATGTAGCTTTAAACAACCACTTGCCAATCCCTGTTGTTGTTTGTCTTCCTGTTTCCCAGGGCTACAGGACAGGCTACCCTTACCGCTGCCCGTCATTGCGAGACAAAGCTAAAAAGTACAGTGACGCGGAGATCGCTTCCTCCGCCCACGGTGGTTACTCATACGGCGAGGACAGTGACTCAGGTGCTCGCTCCCCGCTGAAACACAGCTTCCAGCGCGGCCAGCGTGACAAGACCCGCTGGCTCAATGCCGGCGGCCGGCCCGACGAGCCCTGCGAGGACGGGCCCGACGGCAGCAGCCCCAAGTCGAAGCCTAAGGTGTGGACGAACATAACACACGATCACGTCAAACCCTTGCTGCAGTCTCTCTCGTCTGGTGTCTGCGTGCCAAGCTGTATAACCAACTGCTTGGTCTGTGCCTACCTTATTGTTCATAGTATAGATTTTACAGCTACCTTGTTGGTGGAAAATGGGTAGGTGGTCGGCATCCTGAGGTTCTGGAGACAGTTTGGAATAGAAGTATAGTACAAAGCTCTGATTGTCTTTTATTGAGCCGTTTCATATAACTGCTAGGCAAGTTGGAAGTTAATATAATCCCGCTTTTCACTACTTTTAGGCTTTTTTAAGGCTCACTTACACTGTAATTTCAGATGTCCTATTAACCCACCTTCCAAATGCAGTTAACTCTGCTCTGTTAATTATATTCATAGCACAGCTGTGATTATTTATTGACGCTCTTTGCTATTTTTCCCTTCTGGTCTCCTAATGCTTCATGATGCCGGCCGGCTGCCCACAGCATGTCCCACTGCATGTGTAGTAGTGAAATGCATTGTTGGTGTTGATGTTTTCCCCAGAGGAGCGAGCAGCAGGGGTGTGGCATGAGTCCCCGAGTGGGCAAGGTGAATGTGGAAAGACCCGGTGACGTCACTGCTAACCACTCTGTCGCTCACCGCCCCGAAGTAGCACACGCTCTTAGTTTTGTCTTTGCATCTTGAAGTTAGCTTAGTTGCTCAAACATGAATTAGTGAAGAGGATAAAGCAAGTGCAGTGATATTTGAGGCTATATCAGTTAAAACCTTGTGAGTTTGCTCACAAAGGGTATTAATAAGATTTCCTTGCCTGCTTAAATGACAGAGGTGGCATGTCTCTGACTGAGAATCCAGAAAAATGCCAGGTACATTATAGACATTTGATAAGAAAAACAGCTAAGCAAAATTTCCTTGGCAAAAGAGTTATGCAGCCTGCTTTTCTAATTCTTATTTCTCTCAAACACTTTCAACTGCTCCCAGTTGTATGTCTCTGTTTCCTCTATTATTTTTACTCTTTCTAGTTTCTGGTTGTTCAAATTGTTTTGAACACCTCAAGGCCTGCATGATTTGTTTGAAAAAAAAAAAAACAACAGAAAAAAAAAAAAAAAACATGGAATTTGATCTGACATTTAAATCAATTATCTCCTGTTGGGAAAGTAGGAAATGTTGTGTTGTGAGACTCTTTCTCAGTGAGTATATCGTGTTTACATGTTCATCTCATACTCAACCAACCCAACCCAGCTACTTCCATCCAGAAAACCCTTCCTCATCTAGCCCCTGTTTTGGCAGCTAACCAGCCAAGCTTAAATTAAACACAGGAATGAAGTCATGAGCATATGCTTTCCACTGCGACTTACATGACTAGTTTAAAATGATTAAACAAAATATTTTGCATGAAAGCTGAAGATTTGATGTGTATATTTTCACCCGCTGCTCATTCAGTTTGGTGCAAGAAATGGGTACAAACTTTTTTTCCTTCAATCATGCTGAGCATTACCAGGTTTAAGTAAAACACTGAAAAGTAAATGGGGGGGGATTTGTTTCACATTAAGAGGAAAATAGCAGTTAACAAGACAATAAAACGTTTCATCCTCTATAGGAACGATACACTCTTGTCTTAGTTTGTAGCGTTGTGACAATGGCTTTTTTTGTCCCAACGTGGGCGAGTGTCCTCGGGTGTGTTTTTCTCTCATCTCTGTCGTCCTTGTTGTTGTGTATCAGCCTGGGAAATGACTTTGGTGATGCCAGCTCACCCCCTCACTGCCACTCTCGCTTCGTAAGCCAGACTCATCATCTCAGTCACCCACCCAGCCATCCCTTCACTCTCCTTCACCTCTTGCCACCACCCTCACTTCTCCCTCCCTTACCCCTGCCACTTTTTTTCCTCATTCTGTGATGTTTTCAGTTGATCTCCAGTGTACCCCTTCGGTTTGTTTTTGATTCTAATGGTACATCAATGATGATGACAAATGGATTTAAGTAGTATAAATACACTGTTAGTTTTAGTCGCTGCATTTTAACCTGTTGTCATACACAAGATCTATATTCAGTATGCTCATGAAACATTATGCAGCTACTTTGTACAAAAATGTACTAAGAGATAGCAGACAGTATGTAAAAGCACACATTTTAAGTTTTTTGTTTAACATTCACAATGTCAACTATGATTTCACTTCTTACTTCCACCAGCCTTGTGCAGGTACATCTGGGACATCTTCTAGTGTTTTAGCTTTGACACTTATGGATGAATGTAAAAAAAAAATCTATTGTAGAAATACCACAATTAGCTATTTTGTGCAAAAACTGGTGCATAACCTATACATTTTTATGATATTTCATGAGTTTTCTGGTATAACAAAACATGTATCATGTAACATATATCAGGAAAGCACTGATTCTCTCCATTTAGATCAATTGAGTCCCTGTTGCGGTTGGTGTTTAACCTCCCTGCACAAATCAAACACGCTAGACTGAGTTGGATGATATCAACCCTCATTACTGGAGAAAATACTAATATCATAGGATAAGTAGAGGTGATGTAGGTTACAGTCCCCAACTAAATTTATAAAAGTATAAATGATTCTTACACCTATTTTCCTAAATGTGCCTCATCATCATTGGTTCACTTTTTTACATTCAAGCCTTTTTACAACCATCCAACTTTGTCCTTTTCAGTTCAGCATGACTCTTTGTATTGTGAAGCCTGCATAGTATTTTGTCTAAATCTATTTTTTTTTATGTTTGGCTTTTCATGACATTCAGCATATCTGGTTTTAGTTGTTTTTTTTAACACTTAATGTGGTGTTTATAGTGGACAAAAGAAGACGGACTCCGCCAGGCTGCTGTAGCCAATCAGTTCATCCCAATGAACACCAACCCTAAAGACGTCCTGGAAATGAGGAATAAGGTATCAAATATATCTGCTTCTATTGCCTTTACTTTTGTGAGACAAGGACAATCTAAAGCTCCTGATGCACTGCATGTTTATCCTTCTTTTATGACATAAGTTTTTTTTTTTTTTTAAGATCCGGGAGCAGAACCTGCAGGACATAAAGACAGCAGGGCCCCAGTCTCAGGTTCTGTGTGCCGGCACCGTGGTGGAACGTTCCTTTAACCAGGTCAGTGTGTGAACTTAACACATAAAAACCTCGCTGCTTCCACAGCTATCCTGACCTGGAGATGAATATGTGTCTCATACTATGAAACACTTGAGTTTGGTCTATTTTATTCATTTTAAATACATTTAAATTTAAAGAAAATAAATAAATAATCATAATATATTCTGTCCAGGTCTGGAGTCACCCCTTAAACCAAAATGCTGCAAAGTGTAAATATTGTGCGTGAAGTTGTTCCTTGACACTAAGTTTTAATGAAAGAAATTGGTTGCAAGCAAAACCTATTCATCGTAATCTGATCTGACATCAAAAGTAACTTCACCACTAATAATAACAGACAGCAAAACATGTCCTCCACTTTGTGTCCCAGAGCCCAGGGTGACTTTGTAACTGACACATTATTCTTTGACCACAGAGATTGTCAATCTGGCAGGTGAGTAGTGTTTTGGGAGAGGTAACCTCACTCTACTCTCCAAACCTGCCAGCTCAGGTTATGTCCATATTCATTATATTTTCATATATCATATATTTTCTTAATTTCTTCGTGTTTTTTTGGTTTTTTTGCCTTCTCTTTACGGTAGTTCAAAGTTGAGACTTTTATCTCAGCACTTGCAGGCTGGTCATTTTGGTCTTTTGCAATGTTTAACTAAATCCCCACTATAGTCTAACATAGTCATGTTTTACTGCTTCAAAGTTTTAACTTTGAGTTCAGTTTGCATGGTTTGCCCTCCCTTTGCTTAGCTCAATTTTGCCACTTATTAAGCTTCCTGGACATTTAACCACATTGAGCAGGACCTCAGCAAATTAAAACAGAGCTGTTAATTGTTTTAAATGTCCGTTAACATATTTTTTGGGGTACCTATGGGTACCTAAAACTTGACCCAGCATGTCAGTAGTAAGACCAAAGGAGTCCTTGATGTGCTTTTTGTTTTGTAAAGACTCCGATTGTATGAACCACACAGTGTATAGCACCCCCTGTGTGGATAGTTTGTCTTTACAACGCATGATCTTCGCTTTTGCATCACTGCAATGCTTTTCACATCCCCACATCTCTTTCCAGAACCATCTCTCAGTGCATGCATTTTCAATGTTTGTGTATGTCTGTATGGTATGTGTGTGTATGCAGAGGTGGAAAGTAAATAATCAACAACAATCACAATTAACCCTGCTTTTACCAAGATCTTAACACGTTTTACTATTTTTTTTTTTTTTTTTTAACAAAGCAGATTTACAAGTAATCCTGCAGTTTTGTTTTTATTTTCATAACCAGGACTTATTCGCTTTTAATTGTGTTTTCTTATTGAAATAGTTAGGTCAGGTTAACAAATTGGCTTGAGCAGCAGGCCTCACATCTCCTGAGTATTACTTAAATCGTACTATTTGTATTTGAGTGAGATATCCTAGTACTCTTTCCACCTTTGTGCGTGTGTGTGGAAGGCGGTATGTTCCTGAATGTCTACACACATTCATGCCTGCCTGACGGACTGCTTGTTTTGAATGTGCTAGTGTTTTAAGAGCTGGGTTGTGCCCCTCACTGGGTTTACCATTGCAGGACGCCCCTCTGTCTGACTGTACAGACACTATTGATGGCCTCGATGTGTCCGAGGGGTCCTATAGTCCTGCTAAATCAATTAGAAAGGTACTTACTGCTCCAGTCACAAATACTATTCACCTATACTTCACATCATCTGCCAGTCATTCCTCTGAGCCTGCAGATAGGCACCATGTCTGGGCCTGCATAGATAAAGTAAATAGCAGTGCTAGAATGAGGCCATTTCTTTCTCCTTATTGTGACCTATAGTTGTCTTTTCTACATGTTTGTGCACCCTAGAGCCTGACATGAATGTTGTTAGTGTCACCTAGGGTCCTTGAGTTGAAAGATTTATATCATGAGTTTGTCTGCAGGAGAGATATTCACCATTCACCATTGTTTCAAAACATATTGATGCAAGTTGAAGTGGGCAGTGAAGAGGGCAGGTGTTAGATCCAGTGATGCTGGTGTTTGCTGCATGCATTGTTCAGAATTTTAAAAAGTCTTTGAAAGAGTAAGTGGAAGAACACCGCTATTGCTGACTGTTAGTTTACTCCATTCGAGCTTTATTTTGCCTTCACCTTGGCTATTTCATGTGTGCCTGGTGATGTACTGTTGGCTTTCTCACGTCTGTCAGTGCTCGGCTTTTGTGTAGCAGTTTTATTGTATGGAATTAAAAAGGAAAAATTCTGCTCTTTCCTAATATAATTAAAGTAAACTGTTATTTAACATCATAACGTGTGCTTTCTGAATTTTGAAATGGCCTGAAGATACATTTATTCATCTGTGGCTGACACTTCTGCTCATGCTGCGTAATTAGCTATGTGTGTAAACTGCCTCTAATCTGATAATCCTGTTCATGTTTTTTTAACTACATGAGATTTTCTGCAAACAATAGACACTGCAGCTAGTTTTTAAATATATTAAATCCTTCCATGTTTAACCTGCAGTAACTTGTAGTCTACCTTGCTGTGATGTCTCATCTCTTTCTGCCTTCCTTCTGTGTGTCCTGAAGGGGGAGCTAGTGACCGCGTCCAAGGCCATCATCGAAAAGGAGTACCAGCCCAAGGTTATCGTCAGCAAGCAGGGTCCCAACCCCTTCACCAAACTCACCGACCAGGAGCTGGAGGAATACCGCAAGGAGGTGGAGCAGAAACAGAAAGGACCTGAAGGTAACAAGTGGAGAGGAGAAGACAAACTGAATCTCAGTATAATGTGAAAAGAAAAAAACATGCTTTAAACCCTCTACTTCTTTGTAACAGCATTTTCCAGATTTTTTACCATAGTATAGAAATGGACAACCCTACATTGTCTCTCAAAATGGTAGATAAAACTTTTGTTTCGTGGCCATGGGTTGTAGTTATTTTCCTCTCTGATTTGATGAGATATATATATATATATATATATATATATATATATAATGAGTGTAGGCAGCATTTATATCAAATCAGTTTAATTACTTAAATGTTTTAATCGTTCTGAGGGTAAATTTGCTTTGCATATACAACGGGGGATTGTGTATGTAATTCACAGCACTCTCCTTCTGTAATCACTCTTTCTTGATCTCCCTCAAGAAAATAACATTACACTGAGAGAAACAATATTGTCACGTAGATGAGTCAATACAGCCAAGACACAGATGAGTAGAGATCAAGTGAGCTTTTAGCTTTTAGAGTCTTTAAAAGATACTTGTAACAAAGGTAATAATGGAAAAACCTGAACTTCAGACTGGCCAAACTGTGATCTTATCTCTCCACACACACACACACACACACACACACACACACACACACACACACACACACACACACAAATTCACAGTGCAGGAACGAGGCAATAGTAGGGAGGGGTCAGCCTCCAGCGTACCCTGTCCGGAGCCTGAAACGTTACCGGAGGGTCAAGCCTCTGTCTCCGCACCTCTACAGTCTGCAACGGACTCACCCAGCTTAGAGAAAGCCCTGCATCCAACTGCCCCACCCGTCACACCCGCCACACCGGCCTCTGAGCAGGGCTCTGCTGAGGGGGTTGTAGATGACGTTTTTTCCACCACGGATGAGCCTCTTTCAGCTCCAGATTCCCCACAAAAGGAGTTCCACTGCGCTGTGCTGCGAGCCCTCAGCAAGGAGCCATCAGTGGTAGAGGCGGCCGAGGCGGCCGAGGCGGCTGAGGCGGCTAAGGCAGATCAGGCTCCAGGTACACCAGATGAAGCGGAGTCCTGCCTAAAATCTGGCCTTCCGCTTCCCTCCTTCCTTGCTCAGCCTTGGCCCATCTCACCACATCCTGCGCTGCACTAGGAGTTGTGGGATTCCCTGCCTGCTGTGTCCTCTCCTTTTCCTGGGGGTTTGGAGCCTGCTGACATTGTTTTACCATGCGCAAGCATCCTCCCTACCCACAGTACAATCTTCGAAGCCTTTGCTTGATTATTTCCCCCCGCCCCTCTCTCTGATGTCTTATGCAAAGGCATCAGAGCTGTGGCAGATCAGATACCTTTCTGCAGTTTGATTGGACGAGGAGCTGAGCAGAGAGGATGTGAAGAGTAAAAGCAAGCTCATTTTGAGATTTCAAACCACTCCCTCCCTTTGAGGGTGCTCTCTCCTCAAGCCTAAAAGTGCTTATGCAGTGGAGTGCTGTTCTAACCTTTTGAGGAAGCTGTGTCTGAGCTCAGTCATCCAATCAGAGCATCCCGTGTGTGGACATAAATAATGGTGTCCTTCTCTTCCTGCTAACCTGTCCTGGTTATATCTCTTTTGGTGTCCACTCTCCCTCCTGTACCTCTGAATGATTTCCAATAAAACTAATGGTAGTTTAGATTAGTTTGGGATAATTTAAGGGTGATTTTAGTGGGATTTGTTTGGAAGATTTTGCAGTGTTCTGATTAAGGCTTTCTCCCTATTTTTTTTTTTTCTGTTGTCATTTTTCTTTTTGTTGCAATGTTGTTGGTGTCGACCTCCTTAAGATTCCTTGAGACAAAATGTGGTGTTCAATCAAAATTGCCTCATAAATATATAATGTATATTTATTTATTTATTTGTAGCGAACAGTTACTCATTTAATTTCTGCTGATGTTTATTCAGACCCGGAGGAGCTAGTAGAGCCTGAGGAAGAGTCCAAAGGCCAGAAACCAACCACCACACCACCCAGCACCCCAGTCAGAGCAGAGGAAGGTACGTTAGCCTGACATACTTGACATACCCGGCTCGCCTGGTTCAGCATGGGTTTCTCCAGTCTTCTAGCTGGGTTTTTGAGCTTTTCTTGGTCTACAGGGAATGCAGAGGCTCCTGCCTGTCCACCTGCCTGTCTGTCTTGGGGTCTGTTCATGTTGTGGTCTTTAATAATACTACTATGGGTGGTGTGCTTTCTGTAATAACAGGCCAAGAGGTTTTGATCATTAAATCATCAAGTTTATGCCATGAGAGATGGAAAATTACAGGTGCAGATGAGATAGTATCCAGACACAATGTCAAGAAATAGTTTATATTTGGGGGGAAAAAAATCCTTTTTAGCATTTATTTATGGACCCCAGTACAGACATCTCTATTTTGGTTCTTTTATTTTAATTTTTCTCCCTCTTGGTCTTTATTACTATTGGATTACACCTATGTGAACAATATCATCCATGATGATACCAGAACTTACCCTAAAAATACCAGGAAGTTAGTACCTTAATTTAAACAATAATGGGCATTATTCCAACTGTTAATTATCCAATTACTTCTTCTTACAGTCTACAACAGTTACAGTCAGTATAAGGGAGAAAGGGGATGAGAAGCTTTGATTGCAGGTGTAATCTAATAAAAATGAAATGTTGGTATTTAACATATGTCTCTATGTACGGTATCTCCTTTACCCCTTCACTTCCATTCTCCATCTTTTTTGGAATGGTTCCAGCCATTCTTTAAAAAAAAAAGTCTTCTGGTGGTTTTGTTTTCTTTTTATATCTTTTTTAATTTAACACAGTGCCTGTGGTTTGATCTGCATAGACATTTGTTTCTACTTGTGCTTTTTCTTCTTTGTGCCTGCGATTACAATCAGGAGATGGAAATACAAAAGAGTACCTGTTGCCATAGTAAGTACGTACTGTTCCACCTCCTCACCACCCTCGTAATTACCCTCCATGCCTGTGTTTGGTCATTTACCCTCTTTCTTTGCATGGCTTCACTAGCAGAGCTGTTCTGTGGTCCGAACTAACATATTTTCCGGGGGTTGAGACTGTTCAGTCGGTTTTCACTCAGTTCTCTGAACTCCTCTGAATCTGTCTTTTTTCGGGTCGATGGGGTTATTTCAGAGCTCCTCCCTCTCTTGTTAGCAGCCACAATTCACTGTTTCTGGTTTATATTTAAAAATCAAATCACAATGACAAAAAATAACAAGAAAAAGTTATCTTGACACATTTATAGTGTTATTTCAGGTGTGATCCTTGGATTTGTAAGATGCATTTAAATCCTTTTTACTACGACAGTGGCCTGTTCTTAACAAAAACGGAGGATGTTCCTGAAGTAAACCTTACAACCCACCAAACCTTTTATGTTAGATAACTTCTTTTTTCTTCCTGCCTATGATCCACTATCAAATTAACCAAACCTCTCTTGCACATATGCACATTCTATAAATGTTATATGACACTGTTTTTGTTACATGGAAAACTCAGGTAATGTTTTGAAAATGTGTTGAATGTTGTTTGTCTTACAGACGAGTCCTTTACCAGGTACATCAGTGCTTTATTTGAGTGTGGCTTTTCGACCCAGACTTGCTGCTGTTGGCTTTGCTGAGACTTGCTGTCGGTTTAGCTTGAAAGATGGTTGAGCTCCAGTGCTTGGCTGTGTGGTGTTGTTTAGTCTCCATTTTATCTGTCTGTTTGTTCGGCCTCATCTCAGTTCTGACGGACGTGAGAGATGTAAAATGTCTGATGTGTAGTGTTTTCTCGGGTCTTGACGAAGGGTTTTTCATGCTAGCCTATGAAGCATGTGAGCAATATTAAATATGAACAAAGCTGTAGTTGTTTTGCACCTGACTGAACTGTGTGAGCATCTACCTGAGCTTGAAGCAGTGGTTTGGATGCCGTTTGGGCCACCGATCCATGGAAGTCTACTTGAAGCAGACCTACTGGATCCAGCCCCAGCACCTGTTGCTTCTTAACTTTTTATGCTGGGAGTATTTTTAAAGAATGACATATGAATGAATATTTGCCAGAAAAGCCTAATTGAATCAAAGCTGACAGTCCTTCAGAAAATATAAACAACAAAATATTTAATAAGTCCCCCTCAGTTATTGTTGCTAGAAAAATTACCACACATTTGGACTGGTAAAATCTACTAATTATCATTGTTGTGTTTCAAAACAGTGGGTGTATGATTACAGGCAGAATTGGATAAATGCAGCATCTTGTTATCAGTCATGGAGCATTGAAATGGCAGCTGACGCTTGCAAAAGAAGACTCGAATGAAAATAGGTTCTTAAATATGAATTTCACTTTCCCTAAAAGGAACCAGGTATTGCAGGGCTGCTTAGGCCTGGTATTAGTATTAGTACAGTAACTGACATATCACTCTTCAGATGCTTAATATAACAGACTTGGACAAACACAAAGGCTCAGGTTATGCTTTATTATTGTTTGTATTTTGACAAGGTAATATATGTTTGGTGTAGGTCTGCTGAAGTGTAACTTTAAACTGAGCTTTAGACGGAGCCACCAGCAAAATAGTGTAACATTATTTAGCTAATAATATGCTGACTCTTAGCCTTGGAAGTAGCTACTGCTGTAGGTAGAAAGTAAATTAGCCAGGTATGCTAACTTATATAGCAAGTTGATATATCTTTCCAAGAACAATTTCTAGAAAAAGACTCTTTATTGTAAATTTGGAACCTAGTTCTATGAAAACAAGAAACCAAAATGCTCTTCTAGCACTCATTAGGGCCAGAGGGAACATCTCTAGGTAGCTTCTATACTCCCAGCAACTGGATTAAATTGCAATCAAATGTAATACTGTACTCACTGGTTAAGACTTTCTAACTCTCGTTGATAATTCAAGGCTTAATCTTAACGTATTTATCCTTGAGAGCTGTGCCAGTTTTGAATTCATTTAACTTTATCCCCTCCCCTGACTTATTATGTAACCTCGCCTGTGTGGTTATGGTATTACAAATCTTTGAAAAGCCATATTTTTGTGAGGTAGACTTTCATTTCTCTTTGTTTGTACACAGGGTGCAAATGAGCCAGGGAACTACACTCATTAAGATTTCCCTGTTTAAGTGAAGGTAAAACAAAAGTGCTGTGTACCAGCTTTGGCCTGTCAAATAGGAAAGAAGCAAAGCATAGTCTTACATTTAGTTGCTTATTGTCATTAGACCTAATAAGTAAAGACAGTGAGTCTTGGAGACGTGCATTTATGTTATTTAATGTGAGACTGCATCTTGGTTTGGCTTTTGGTTTTGATGTCAAGCGTGAAAGCATTTATTTTTTTATTGCTTTTTTGGCTTTTAGTGGGAATGTTGCCTGTGGAAGAGTTAAATTGTTGTGCTTTAAGGCTCTGTTAAACTAAGGAGCAATGTATTGTTGATATTGCTCAAAGTCAGTCATATATTGAACTGATTTAAATCTCATAGATGCCATAAACTAAACTAAAGCGGCCAAGTTGTGTGAACTCATGCAGTGACATGTAGATGCTTTTAAAGTAGAAAATTGCGTGGATTTTACGGCTTATCCAGTGGTTGATTTTTTTTTTTTTTTTTTTTTTTTGAAGTAGCATCAGTGGTGTGGAAGCTGAGCAGCGCAGATCCCTCAGTTTGTCCTCCTGCGATCAATAACTCTCCCCTTCCTCCTCCCATCAGAGTCCTTGCCAGAACAAACCTATAAGGATGAGAGTGACGCAGCCACCCTGAGACAGACCCTTCCAGATTTAACACCTGATGACCCCTCCGATGCCCCAGCACTTCCTGCCGAAGAGCCCGCCTCTGCCCCTGCCGCCGCAGATGCAGACGCAGCTGAGGGGGAGGAACCCGCTGACGCCGGTGACCAGGAGGGTGAAGAGTCTCCCAGCAAATCACCCTCCAAAAAGAAGAAGAAGTTCCGCACTCCTTCCTTCCTAAAGAAAAACAAAAAAAAGACAGAATCCTAGAATGTTGGATCGGTCCTCAAGGCTGGCCTCTGCCTCCTTTTCATTTTCGCTTTTTGTCTGCTATCATTGCACCCTTCGAGCAAGCCACAGTTACATACAGTTATGCTTTTTGTTGTTTTGATATCATTTGTCGCTGGCTTATTAACCTATTTTTCCTCGTTAGCGTGTGCCAATTTTGTATACAGTGTAAAAATGATTGATTGCATAAAGGTTTTTAATTATTAGAGGCTTTTAGTTGTGAGTGAGTGATGCATTCTGTCTTGTCCACTCCATCTGGCCTTTTATGCATGTCTATTACTACAGGCCCACACACTTGATGTGAGGTTTTAGGGTTTTATCACCCTCATTTTTAAAGAAAAAAAAGACTATTACTAAACTGTTGTAACCACTAGAATGTATTGGGATTGTATCAAAAATATGTCCAAGTGTCTTTTAAAAACCGTGAATGCAGAAAGAGAAGCTTGTACCATCTCATTTAACTGGTGGTAAATTCTGACAGTGAGAATTACAAATTGCATAGTGCTAATTTTACCTCTGAAGCTGTGCACATCATTGAAGCATAATTACATGTTAGCAGGCCAGGGGAACTGGAAAATTCAGTCATACAAAGTTCATGTTAATGTTTCCATAATCCAATATTTTGATTAAATCATCCACATACAAGCAAAATCACATCTGGGTCTTTGTTGACTTTAAAAACCTCAAAATCTTCTTCCCACAAGCATTTGTTGCAGCCTTAACATACAGGTATGATGTACAGTGCTTCAGATCTTTATTTTATTAAGAAATTTGGTTTAATATTTTTCAAACGAAATTGATCTGTAGTGCTGCAAACCTGCAGATGATTTAGTTTGAACCACATATTGTGAATCATCCCTGGAAGTGTTAGCAAGCATTGTGCTTGCTGATTATTCCACGGGTTGATAATGTATTTGCTCCTGGCTGTAAGTGTTTAATATGAAGGAATGTGTAAAAACAAATTCTCAGTTGATGTTTTTCATTTATTCTAATTATTTGAGCCTTGCTTTTTTTGCATTTGTCCCTTGATTTCTCTCTGTCTCTGTCTCTGTGAAAGTCAGAAACAGACAGAAATGCAACATATTGTAAGTTTACATGTTTCATTTTGTTCTCGTTTATTTTCCTTTTTTTTTTTTTTTTTTAAAGTTGCGCTTTTTCTCGCAAAGTATATTGAGCCATGATTGCTTGCTGTGAGAGAGCACTGTGAATCTTCTCTTTTATAAACCACTGTCCGGGAACTCATACCACACGTTGCTTTTAGTACATACATCACACATAGATACAGTTGTTACAGAACATGTAAATGACGATGTCACTGCTATGAAGCTGCATGATCAATCACATTTTAGAACCCTAACCTGGACTTTCCTGTGTAAAACTCCACTCTGAGCAAATAGACTTTGTCATTGAATACTTGTGTGTTTCCAGTTGCAGTAAAGACGCAATGTACACTGGAGAAGCAATTCTATTTTATTTTTTTTATGTCACTGATGTGTAATCAATGGTGTGACGGCAAAGGAGCTGTGCTTAAGGTTGCAGGGCATTATTACCAAGGCTATCTCCACGCATTGCTTCCTAACTTGTGTTTATTCATCCTGTTTTAGTAAATGGTTTGTCATCAGTCTGTCTAACTCATGGTGAACCAAAAGGCAAAACTAATGGGAAGCTTCACCTAATCTGAGATGCTTAATAAAACCTTTGCCTGTACCTTTCCCTTTGTTCACTACGGGTGATATGTCTGCATCTTCACATACAAGCACAGAATGTCTAACTCATGAAGGACTGCATGTGTAGAGTGCTTAGAGTGTGTACTGTCTTTAAATGACTAACTACTCCTTTTTATTTGAATTACATTTTATTTTAGCTTTAGCGTACCGATAACAATACTAGAGTCCTTTTATAGTCATTGTTTTAATTTGAATCAACCATAGGTTGTTGTTTTTTTTTATTCTTACAACTATGCTGATTTGTATTCTCTGTCTGATCTACTTCCAATCTAAATGTGTCTCATCATTATACCATCTACAGACTTAATACTTCCACCTATCTTTTCTCATGGTTCTGCCTCTTCTACAACCATGAATAAAAAAACACTACCATGAAAGTCAGTATTGTGTGGTCGTAGTCATTTACATAGAATTTATCAGCATTACCAGCAAAGACTGTACATACAGTAATGACTTTTACATTTTGCACACAACGGGTAAATGTGTACCATAAGTACAAGTACAATAATACTGGCACAACACATACTAGAATGCAAGCAGATCACAGATGAAGACAAATAAAGAGAGTACAAATAATCTATAAAGATTAAATATGTTTGAACATCAAATACATTACAATACAATTAAATCCAAACATTTGATATCCTATTACTTATCTGACGTGTTTTTAAAGTATAGTTGATTTTCAGGGCCTGGTAAGATATCACTGGGGCCAGCATCAAAATGAACTTAAAGTAACAAAAGCAAAAGTACTCATTACGCAAAATGGTCTATTTCAAAATTCTATATTATTGGATTATCATCAGGCATCACTTCAATGTTGCAGCTGGTAACGGTGGGGCTAATTCAACTGGTAACTACAGCTGTTGGATAAATGTAGTGGAATAAAAAAAACTTTACTTAAGTACAGTACTTGAGTATATGTACTTTCCAGAACTGAGACTGACTGTCTGAACTAGTCATAGATGAAGAGGTTTTGGAAACAAGCAGAATTGTGTTTGACCCATCCGACAAACCAATATAAGAATACAGGTATTGTTTGCAACTGGTCAGTGAAAGCAGTCAGAACTCTAGCTTTATTTATATGTATACATATATTATATTTTGTTATATACATTATACAAAATTAATATAGATTTTGTTCTCATGTATATGTGCTGGCGATTGTTGTAATGTAAACTAATCTATATTATACCCAGGTTTCTGTGTCATCCGTGCCCTTATACTGAAGGATGAACCTCTCATTGTCGACGCTAGGGGCGCTGTAGGGAAACGCACACTGGAAGTAGCTCCTGTATGCTGCTTTGTTTTGAACTCTGACCTCAAACTGTGCACGCTGGGAATGGAAACAACGTGGATAGCAAAAGATTAAAGTAATATTTATTAAATTCAGGGTTGGCAGAGCGTTAGTGTCCCATGTTTTCTTCCTAACTCTGCTCCTGAACGCGGCTTAAAGGTAAACTGCGCCTCTGCGTGATAATGTTAGCGTGTTTACATACTGTTGACGGCTCATGGTGAAGTGTTTTAGCTGTAAAGTAGCTCCAGTTTTTGTCACACAATCGTCGTTTTTGTTTCATTTGATATTCCACACATACATTTCAGCATTGCCCTTAAAAAATGCCCTAAAAGCGAACTGCTTTTGACGACCCAGCCAATCACCAGAATAGAGGAGAACATGTTTCCAGTGCGCGTTTAATTCATGTGTTGTGATGAATATGAGTTTAGCCCTGATGAAGAGAGTGAGGTAGTGTCAGTGATGTTAGCTCATCAGTCCACTACTGTTACAGATGGGGAAGGTGCCTAAGAAGAGGAACCTCGCTGACAAGGTCCGCAAAACCAAGACCTCCACCGAGATCAAGAACAACCCTTTTGAGGTGAAAATCAACAGGAAGAAATTTGATGTTCTGGGGAGAAAAACCAAGCATGATGTGGGTCTGCCTGGTGTGTCTCGATCCAAAGCCATTAATAAGGTAAGAGAACATCTCATATTGTTACTCACTTTGTCCACAGTGATCGACAAACAGGTATGTGTCAGTGAATGTGAAATGAATAAGTAATTAATACACATTAAATGACATAAATAGCTAGATTTCATTCACACATATTTTATAGTTGCTGTTAAAGATTTTATACATGAAGCAAAGTAAACTATTGATTTGTTTAATAGATTGTTTCTGGCATAAAACAGCATCTGCAGGTTGATGCTGTGAACATTTCCTAACAAATCTTCATTTTTTGACGACGATAATCCAGCAAATCCCATGAAATTCACTTTAATTACTATCATATTTATTGCGATTGATGGTCGTTTAATGTACACTTAATGAACTGTCAAACAAAATAAAGTCTGAGGCGCACATTTTTGGTTTGATAAATAATTCTGACAGGGGAGATGCTCCGAGTTCATCAGCGCTGCAAACTGCTTATGCACAACATCCTTATTAACTCAGCTGCCACCAAGTTCTATTGTTGAAAGTTCATTATCGGTGTATTATGAAGTGACAGGGTGCATTACAGACGGCAGCTGGCTGATCTTATCGCTCAAATGTTTTTAATTACTGTAATACCAAAAACGTAGGAGTCCTGACACTGACACATGGCCCATTAAAGAGATATCTTTAGGCTTAGGATGTTTTGTGAAAATCACCCAGCAAAGTGTGGAATAAAGAAAAGAAGGCAGACTGATTAGGTTAGGATGAAATTCTTCTACTGCAGCACTGTATCTGACAGCCATGGCTCACAGCTCATCATCCATGTAACACTATCTGTGCTGTGAAGCCTGGTGCTCACAGTATCATGCTGGGAGAGGGATTTTCTGCAGGAGAGACTGAGAGCTTTGTAAGGACAGAGAGAAGTCTGAAAAGAACTTAGCACGAGTTAAAGTGAGGATGAAAGTAGAATCTGCACACTTGATTCAATTTTACTTCCAACTCGTGGTTTTGTATGTATTTATACATCGGACATGTATACAATGGATGAACCAGGCAGTGGCACCTGGTGGCCACTGTTGTCTCTCCTACGCAGTTGGAAAGTATTCAGCCTGCTACTACACACTGGTGTTTTAACTCAAAGGAAACAAATTTGTAACTCTAAAGAATCAGTGTTTCGTAGCTTGTCGGAACGTTGTGCGTGTTTTGGATAGAAATTGTATGCAATTATTTATTGTTTCTTTATTTTTGATCTGTAGAGAAAAGAAACCCTCCTTAAGGAATACAAACAGAAGAACAAGTCCAACAAATTAATTGACAAACGCTTTGGAGAGTATGACACCAAGATGGCGCCAGAAGACAAAATCCTGCAGAGGTTTGCGATGGAGAGACAGGTCAGTGATGTAATATTACCTGTAAGGACATCAAAATAAAAGCATGCAGCATCACTAAGTTCCCTACTTTGTTCTATAACTCTCAGCCAAACTTTTGCTTTGTCTCTCAGCGTGTCCATGACAAGAAGGATGTGTACAACCTGAACGAGGAGGAGGAGC